CCCCGCCCCCATCACCCCCCCAGACACCGGGACAGGAAGTACCCCCTCCCCCATCACTCAGGAAGTACCCCGTCCCCATCACACCCCCAGACACCGGGACAGGAAGTACCCTCTCCCCCATCACACCGGGACAGGAAGTACCCCGTCCCCATCACACCCCAGACACCGGGACAGAAAATGTCCCCGCCGGCCTTCTGTCCAAGAAAAACAGAAAATTTTCTGGTTTTTTTGTTGGTTTTTTTTTTTTTTTGCCAGACAGAAGACGCAATTACTGGGCAAAAACCGGACACCTGGCAACCCTAGGGGTTATAGATAAGCACCACTGAGGCCTGGAGGAAGCCAGAGCCCGTGCCTGTGAGCCCAAGTTGGCTGGCTATGGATGTGTAATTACAGTATAGAAAAGCCACCCCCTTCCAACCCCGGGCAGCTGCAGAGATCCATGGCTTATTGCAGGGGGAGAGGGGCACATGCTAGCCCCTTGCCCCAGCTTAGGACCCCCCTGCTACAGCTGACCCGAGAGGGGAGCACAACCAGGAGGGGAAGAGAGATTGGGGGAGGCAACAGGGGCAAGTTTCACTAAGTATCTTTTATTGAAGGAAGTCAGAGCAAATCCCCACTCCTGCAAACCCCCAGCAGTCGCGGACAGGAGCTGGTGGCTACTTGTCCGGCTACTGGCCCTAGGAGAGCTACACAAGGGCGGGGGGGGGAGGGGACCACGCTTTGGCTTGGAATCGCCACCCCCGCGCTCTCACACCTGTGTCCACAGCAGGGACAAGGCTGTGTCCAGTACCAGCAGCAAGGTGTCTTATCTGAGCACAGGGTGCATGGGGGGCAGAGCCTCAGAGCTCTGCCTTCCAGGGAGCAGACAGGAAGGGGGAGGTCCTGAGCAGAAGCAGCCATGGTGCCACCTCAGGGGGACTGGCCTGGGGTCCAGGGGACAGCTGTACTTTGTGCCGCTACAGGAGGGAGGCGAGGGGGACAGGGCGGGTTAGGAGCCAAGCCCAGGGCTAACCCGAGTCAGCTGCAGGAACGGAAGGTGGGTCACTCAGAGCAGACGGTGGTCGTGCCCCAGGCGCTCTAAGTCTTTGGAAGAGAAAGACCCTTGGTCGGGGCCTGGGGAGGCAGGGCCCTTTGCAGTCAGTCCATGCAGGGATCCCCTTGCTTGGAAGGCCAGGGCGGTCCTGCTCCCTCTGGCTGGGCAGGGAGGGGGCTCTTGCATCAAGTCAGTCACTCCCCCTACAGCTTGTTTCTGCCCCAACAAGGGGCCGGCGCGGCCAGACACCAGGAGCAAGCGTCCACAGCCGGGGAGCTCGTCACAGGCAGGGGGGCGGCTCCCGGGCCCGCAGCAGGCGCTGGCCGAGGGGAGATGTCCAAGGCAAACCAGGGCTCTGACAGCTTCTCTGCTCCCGCCCCGGGGAGGCAGAAGGGGAACCTGCCCAGGCGGCTGCAGGAAACACAAGGAGCCAGCAAGACGGGAAGGCACTTGGCACTTGCACATCTGGTCCAGGGCACGTGGGGGAAGAAGCTGTCGCTAGCAGGGAGGTGCGTTCCCAGCGCCTCTCCGCTCCGGCAGAACCCCCGCTGTCCCCGGGGACGGGAGGCGGGAGGAAAG